AAAAATGCATTTACATAAAGATGAACCCTTTTTTCTATATTTCTAAACTCTTTTCACTTTCTAAAGATGCAGTCACTTGAAGTGATTATGATTTCCCACCCCACATCCTTTTTTATTTATTTTTTATTGGTTATGAATATTCATGAGACACAAAGCTGATTGTTACCCCTCATGCCCAACCTGTGAAGGCCAGATTCATGCTGGCAGCATGCCCACTACCACACATTGCGTTTGTACCCCATCTCCCTCACCCAATTATCCCCAACCTCCCTCACCCACCGCCTTCCTCCCAACTCCACTTTGTAGCCCAAGGTCTGTTCTCTCCCTCTGCAAGTCCAGTGCACCACTGTGGTCTTTCTTTTCTTCCTTCTTTTTCATGATTGTTTGTGTCTTGATTGACCCAGAACAAGTAAATCAGCTGAATCCAGGTGGAATTTCAGAAATTCTGTTAGTGGGAAGTTTGAGGTCAGTATTTTGATACTCTGCAATTTCTGATTGTTTGAGAAATTGTTCCTAAATTCTAGCCCCATCTATTAAAAAATCTCAACTATTTGGATATGAACACTTAAGCAGGCCAAACCAATTTCAAAATGCAGTGCTTAATCCACATGATAAACATAATACAAAATATTCAAAATTAGAATATGCTACCTTGATTAGTCATAGGCTGAAGGACTCACCTTCCAGTTAACAATTCAAATCTGTTAACTTTTAAAAATACTGAATCTTTTCACTTACTTTAAATTTATTATTTTTAAGAAATAAAGTGATATGAAAATGAACCCAAAATTAGGTTTCTAGACATCCAAATGGAACACATGAAGTTTGTAAAATGTCTGCAACTTTTGCCAATTTATGAATTAGAATGGCTTGTTTTTTAGTTCAAAAGGTTACCGTCAAGTTGTCTGAGAGTTAACTACCTACGTACTTTATTGTTATGATACCTGCATTGGGTGGACTTTACCTGGTGAGAAATCCTAAGGAGGAAATGCACACATGGCCTAACTAATGGTATGGTGCTGTGGAAGGAAACTGGCAGACATTACAGAGACAGCATGACACATACACTCCACAGAGAAACTCTCAGTGTTCCTGGAGAATTCATAGACAACTGAAATTATTTTCTTCGACAGCCCGAGTAAGCTTATTCAAAGACAGAATGCCCAGGCTGATTTCTTTGCTAGCTTCTTGTTAACCAGTTTACCTACCCTACTACCTATGTGCAAATACTATTTGTTCTTTTCAGATTTTGTTTTCTGCAGAATTTTTTCTCCCCTCTCTCAGCTAAGTCTCATTTTTGACTCTGTTCCTTTAGTCCTCGGACCAATCGACTCTGTCACAGGCAATGAATATACTCTGTTTGCAAAGTAACTAAATGTCTTCGAGTTATTCTTTGACAGTTTATATCTGGAGGATCCACAGAGGTGTTGCCCACCTTGATCTACCATAGAGGATATCATAACTGAACAGGGAAAAGATTTCTGTAATACTCCTAAGCACGATATATTTAAAAGCAGTTCAATGTGTTCTCACAAATCAACATGATCTACTAGTCAGAGATAGCCACTTTAAGATTTGGCACAAAGACCCCCACATTCATTCATTCATTCGTTCGTTCGTTCGTTTATTTATACATACCAAAACAAGATCATAACACACATGTCCTTTTGAAGACTGCCTTATTTATCCCAATTTGTTTTTAAACTTAACAATATATTGTAATTATCTTATATCAACAAAGGGAAGACTATTTCATCATTTAAATAAACTGGGTGGCACAATGTTATATAAATAAATCATTATTTAATCAATCACAACTGCTGGAAATTTAGGTTGTTTCTTTTTTTTTTCTATTATAAACCATGTTTATATGACTATCCTTGTACAAACACGTATGAGAGGTCTTCAAAAAGATAAATAAATCATTATTTAATCAATCACAACTGCTGGAAATTTAGGTTGTTTCTTTTTTTTTCTATTATAAACCATGTTTATATGACTATCCTTGTACAAACACGTATGAGAGGTCTTCAAAAAGTTCGTGGAAAGATTCATATTATCTTTCAATTTCAATTTTCCGTGAACTTATTGAAATACCCTCGTATACAAGGTTCTTCAAGATTTGCCTACTTCTTCTCTCTCTGGTCTCATCCATTGCCACTTCCAAATTTGTTCTCTACATGCATATCACAATGAACTTCAGTTCCTTCTGTATACCATACATTCTCCTGCAGCTGGGCATTTGCAAATGTTATTCCATCTCCATAGAATACTCTTCCTGACCACTCATTGCCAGGTTAATTCCTACTCCACTGAGATAATTTCCCCTGGAAAATTTCCTGGACTCCTTAAGACTAGGTCATAGTGTAACTACATGCTCAGTAGTACACTGACCTACCCAGGCTGTATTGTAACTGAATGTTTAACTGAAAGTCTTCCCTTCTTGCCTGTACTTCCATGAGAGTTGAGGGTGGGGAGCACAGTGTTTCGTTTATTGCTAATGCCCCCCCACACACACCTAGAGCCATGTATAGCATATATAATGTTCTTGAAAATAAGTATTGAACTGAAAGGAAACATCCATTTCTTTAGTTGTGTGCTTAAGATAAAATGCCAGAAGAAAAATCACTGGCTTAGGGAACACTAAAGACGTCTGATACATTGTGCCAAATTGCCTCCAAATAGAAATGCAGTTGCTCCTGTTTCTCTACATCCTGGCATGTACTGTTACTCATTTTATGTTTTGCCAACCTGATATGCAAAATTATTACCTCAATAAGTATTTCTTATTTGGCAAATTACCTATTAATGACTTTTACTCAATTTTCTATTGGAGTATTTATCACACTTCTATTAATTTGTAAGTAATATTTACATATTAGATATTTATACATTACTATTTCTTACAGAAGATATTATATATTTGTCACGTATGTCACAAAATTTTCCTCCACTGTTTCATGGATCTTTTGCTTTGTTATAATCTTTTTCTCCAGATCAAAGTTTTAATTTTTCAGTAAGCAAATATTTAAGCTTTTTTTTCATGCTTTCTATCTTTGGTGTCAAGCTGAGAAAGGCCTCTTCCACTCTCATGTTGTAAGAAAAAATTCATGTTTACGTTAATTTAATATTTTTATCATTTAATTTTTCCATTTAAATTTTTAATATGTCTGGAGTTTTATTTTGAGTGCAGTGAATATAAGAAATCTTACTTAATCCCCCCTTCTCACTAAATTTAGCCAGTTGTTGTCCCAAGCAAAGAATGTGAGTACCGCCATGCACTGTGTAATGATGACTTCGTTTCAGTCAGTAGTGGACCGTGTATACGATGGTGATCCCATAGGATTATAATGGCTATGCCATATAACCTAGGTGTGTAGTAGGTGATACCATCCAAGTTTGTGTAAGTACATTCTGTGATGTTCACACAATGATGAAATCCCCTGATGATGCATTTCTCAGGACATACGCCCATTGCTAAGTGATGCATAAATTGTATTTTTTGAGTACTCAATCCCTCTTGGACAGATTTTGTGGTCTGTGCATTACTGGATAATTTGGGGACTGTAGGGTCAACCTGATGTCTCTCTATTCATGCCGAGGGACGTGAGGACCTCAGTGAGGGCCAAGAAAATCCTTCCATCTAGGGGCTTTCTGCTTTGGCCCTGCTGCATGCTTCATGTTTTTTGCTTCCCAAGCTTCTCTACAAGTGTGGAGGTCCTCCACCTTGGGAAACTGTCCTCAGTGGCTGGACATTTTCAACCCCAAACTTCTGAAAAAGATGCGACTGTGCTCTGAGCTCTTTTCTTTTTCTATTCATGTTTAATTAAGAATATATTCTACTACCATTTTATTTTCTTTCCTTTCTCATGCCTTTAGGTTGTTTTTATACTTTATTTGAAATAGTTATTTTATTTTTTTGAAGCTCAATTCCTTGTAGTCTTACTTGTCTTTTTATTCTTTAAAAAGTTTTAATTTTACATTTAATTTTAATTTTTGTTTTTTAGTTTAAAATAATCTTTGCCTCATCTTTTTCCTCTATTTAAATTCTATATATTTTATTCTCTACACTTTTGGAGTGTTTTTTCTGTTTTATTTCTACACTATACACCCAATTTCCAGTCTTCAAAATCATCATACAATATTACTCTCATTTTCCCCATTTTGCGAGGTGAAAATTGATATTCAGAGAGGGAAGGGTTTGTTAAGGTGACAGAGCTATTTTGGCACAATAATATTTAAAATATTCACCTTTTTTTGTTGTCTTTATGTATTCTCTTTGATACTTGGACATTTCCGCATTAAGTCAACTAGACAATTCTGGGCTCAAGTCTCAGGAAGGGATATTGCAATTGAAACAGGGTAGTAAAAGAAATTTTCCTCTTGGATTTTGTGTTTCCAAAGCTGAAGTATTAAAGAGAGTGGAAATGACTCAAAGAAGAGGAAAAAGCAGGATAAGAAGAGTCAACTCTTTCTTCCTCATTTCCCGATCTCCCAATCCCAAAAGAGGAAATGAATATACCAGTTTGGTAAAGAGAAAAGGCTTGAAAGGAAGAGATGAGGTTGTAAATGTGGATAGTTCCCTCTCAGAGGATCCCATATCTTCTCCTAAGTGTGGAGGTAGCAAGATTTCCCAAACGTGCATGTGTGTTTGAAAGTAGATGGGGACCATCCTTCGCCACTTCATGGGTAGAGGCATAGGATGGAGCAAAGACTCCAGGATAGAAAATGGCTTACTGTGTCCTGATTTATGATACCCCAGCATGTTGCAGAAGCAGCAGAATCATCACGTCAACCCTAGAGTGGCATAGAGTGGCATGAAAGATGCAGGAAAATCTGCCAGATATGAAGGTACCTTGAGCACGGGAACAAAGGGTAACTCAGAGGCAACTTCCATGGACTGATGACAGAGATCAGTTGGGTTGATGGACATATCAGCATTATCACCAATTAAGTCCCATCATTTCCCTTTTTAAAGTCACAGAATGTGTGATATGACATTAGCTCTCAGAACTTATTTTATTATAATGGCATTCAAGAGGCACATTTTTTTTTGCACAGCCACACTACATTTCCATTTTTGATGCTTCTCTTTCCTGTGTACTGGAATAATCAGGGAGGTGGAACAGGACAGGAAGGGAGTCTCCAAGGACATCTTCACAACTTTTGTCGCCTGGGATCTCAGAATAGCAGAACACAGCGGATGCTGAAACATACGAGTGCAATAATGAAATAACTGAATTGCCTGGGAAATCGTGATTTCAGCAAAATGATTATACACCATATCATGGGAAACTACCTCATTGCCTACCTTTTCCCATCCCTACCTCCATCTTCATCCTAATTCACCTATGTGAAATATCACCATCTGACTAGGGTCTGGATTAGGATTCAACATTAGCCCTGAAAGGAAGGCCCCTGCTTTGAGCACGTTTCCCTCTGGATACATGACCACAATCACATCCCCAGCCTCTGCTGCAGCTTCTGATCAGCTTCCTTCAGCCTAGAATCTTGTCCCATGTCTGGAAGGGGAAGAAAAAAAGGGGTTCCCCTGGTTCTTTCCTTTTACAGTGTGCCCATTGCCTCCTGTATCCCCTCTCCCATCTTTGATAATCTGTTTCTAAAATTTCACACAATTTTTCTCGGATCTTCATTCCTGATTTAAATGGGCTGATATGATAGGTTTAAACCAAGAAGAACTAGCAGGATTAAAATTTAGGAACTAGATTAAAAAGTTAAAGATCTAGATTTTTAAAATCACTAAACAAGCAAAGGATGTAGGTAGACTTGGGGAAGAGAATATAAAAGGGAGACTTGCTTAGAATCAGATTGAGAAAACCAAGCGTCCATCACAGTTGTGATTACTAGTTTACTGCTGCTTGCTTGTTCTCTACTATCTCCAGCACTCATGACAGTCCTCGCAAAGAGTACATCAACAATAAATGTGTTGAATAAATACATGAATAAATTAGCACTTATTTTCCATCCCCAAAGGTGTGCTAGCAGAAGCAGATTGACTATCATCAGAAATGATGCAGAAAGGATTTGCACCCTGGGTGGGCATCTAAACCTTTATTCTGAGATTCCTTGCAAGGTTTTTTTGACTCCAGAAATGTCACCTCATTTTTTTAGTTCATTTCTTTAACCAGAGAAATAATACATAATTGATCAATGTGGGATAGAGTCGTTCTTAGTGTTATACTGAATTCTTGAACATCTCTCTGAAATAAGTTGATGTAGGTGATTTCCAAAGAGGGGCCTGCAGTGAAACCTTGTCTTATCCTGGTGACAGTATGAAATAGAGTTAAGTGTGTGAAAGATATCAAAGGTCCAAGTAACCATCTCTTTCCCAGAAAAGAGAAACACCAGTGGGAAATATTTGAAGAGTCCTCTTCTCTGTGAGTTATTGGCACACAGAAGATCATCAAACAAAACACTCACACTTTTCCAGCATGGTACAACTCAAAGGCTTCGTGGATTTGTTCAAAAGGCAGCTGATGGGTTATTAATGGATCGACATTAACCTTATGTTGCAGATAAGCAGTCACTATTTGGGGAATACAGTCTCTGGTTTTATATTCTGCAAAACAAAAAGGCTATAGTAATAAGATGTGAGAAATTCCAAGCCAACCATAAGAAAAAATAAATCAAGTAAGTCATGCGATGGGGAAGGTACTTCTCTGAAAACTTGCCACTGAACATGGAAGAGAAGTTACTTGTACCTCAGAAGCTGTTGCTAAATGTGGCTGCTATAGATATGATATCTTGAAATCCTTTGGAGAAATATTGGGCCAACATTTATGTTACTGAGTTGAAAAATGACCCTTTTAAACTAGCTGTCTCCAACCCACCTCCTGGGATTACCATTGCACACACTTTTCTACCTTCTTGATTCATGAAACTCACCACCAGATGAATGGGTGGATATGGGAGAGTTAATTCACTAAAGCTGTTAGTCAGTATTGCTTAGAAATAAGGTCTCCTCTGGGAAGACAAAAACCAGTGCCAAAATACCAAATAAGTGCATGTAAATAAAAGGCATTGCTGTTAATATAGCACAACAAGCATTGAATCCTCCTGTGTAGAACCAAAGTTATCTGAATTATTCCAGTCTCCGGGAAAACCCCCCAATTTTTTTTTTTTACAGGAGATTAAAATTTTATTTGAACTGAAACCCCCCTATTTAGTTAATTTAATTAAAATTGATTTGCAAAATACGCCAACCCATTAGAGAAGGAGTCTTTGGAAAGTTTTACCATTATATCTCTGTTTCCCCAAGGAGAGAAACTTTGGCTTTCATGTTTCTGCAAAGCTGAAAGGGATCTCACAAGAGCAACTGACTGGGCCCTACTATTGACATACCTACCTCCTAAACAGACGCCCTTCATTATCCTCCCAGTGATAATTGTTGTTGCATCAAGGGGAAGCTTCGAATTTGGTGGAGCCACCCCGATGATCAGACAGACACCGTAGCTCAGGTGGCAGGAGTCCCAAGCAGCTATCTAATAATGATAATAATGACCATAAGCTTAATGAACCTCCTCTTGGGCAGATGCTACTTCAAAGTCAGCCTCAACATGGCGAATGATGGGAATCTCATTAGAGAACTAGTAGAGTTTAGTGGTAAAAACCAGAGACTACTTGTGTATTCTTAGGCAAGTTACTTAACCTCTCTATGCCTCAGTTTCCTCATTAGCCAAAACAAGAATAAAGCTACCTACTTGGCAGGGTTGTTATGAGGATAAATGATTTATCATTCTTAAAACACTTGGACACTATCTGGCACACAGTAAGTAGTGTATTAAATAAAATTACCCACTGCATCAAAGGCTATATTACTGTATTCTTTGCTAGATCTTTTCACTTGCTACACTTCTCTGCCCAACTCATTTCTATTCAAACAAGAGAAAACAAATATATGTGTGTGTGTGTGTGTGTGTGTGTGTGTGTTGCTTCATGCCCAACTCATTTCTATTCAAACAAGAGAAAACAAATATATGTGTGTGTGTGTGTGTGTGTTGCTTCATTTTTTTTTTTTTTTTTTTGCTAATTCAGTTTTCTGAGGATGTACAGCACACATCTTCACATCTATTTTATTTCCTTTTCTGGTTCATAACTGTTTTCTTTCCCTTTTCCTCCATTTCACTTTATTTGCCTCTTTCTTATCATCTTCATCACTACCTCTGCTTCCTTCATTCTTTGACCAAGTACAGTAGGTACACACTCTCTTCTCTAAATTGCAAGATCCAGGAGGATGGTGCCTATTTTATTTACCTTTGTATCCCTAGAGCTTAACACACTTACACATAGTAGTTTGACAAGCAATTTTCCAAATGAATGAAAGGTCCTTTTAGAAGACAGATGTAAATATCATATGTGTATTCATACCTAAGTATAAAATACATAGATATAAAGAAAAAGCCAGGAACAGAGAAAAGGGAATACTGGTATTTTAGCGTTTTGCATGTTTAATCTTTATGTACTAAGTGACATATCTCTAAGTGTATATTGCTTTTATTTTCAAAATGGAAAAGTTTTCAAAATGTTTTAGAGTGAATTTACATTCTATTTTTAGATTTGGGGTCCACAGATCTAAAATATATTTCCAGGAGACTTCTATGAGGCTATGTAAAATATATTTACATGTTAAGACCACATACCATGGTTTCAGTGAGTCCAATGGCCTCAAAGGCAAAGTCAACACCAACGCCTGTCATTTCCCTCACCACCTGCTGGACAGGCTTCTTGAGTTTCTGAGGGTTGAGACAATCAGTGACACCTAAGGCTTTTGCCCGAGGAAACTTCTCCTCATTGATGTCAACTCCAATGATCCTAGAAGCACCAGAGGCTTTGCAGCCCATGACAATGGCTGAGCCAATTCCTCCAAGTCCAAAGACCACACAGATGGAACCAGGGGTGACCTACAGATTCATAAGGCATACTTGGATTACAAACCAAAGCTGGGCACATGTGTAATTAAGAAAATAAACAAAAAGGTAAAAATAACCATTGAGCCTTTTGGAACACCAGTTGAACCATTTGGATGGATTTGGCTTAGTTTTGATGTTTTTCCAGGCAAATCACTGTGACATATGCTAACAATCAAGTAACTACCTCACCTTGGCTGAATGAACAGCAGCCCCATAGCCTGTAGGCATTGCACAGCTCATGAGACAAACTTTATCCATAGGAGAAGCATCATCAATTTTTGCCACTGCAATCTCAGGCACAATGGTATATTCAGTGAATGTACTTGTGCGGAAAGAGTGATAAATCTTCTTTCCTTTGCAGGTAAATCTGCTGGTCCCATCCATCATTAATCCAGAAGAAGGCAGAATACTGTTGTGCAGTGACATGAACACAGGCACAGGTACCAGCCAAGATACATGGATTTGCAAAGAGAGAAATGAGCATCTTTAGCTACAGTTAATGCTTGTACAATATAAGCAATTTAATAAAAGAATGAGAGACAAATCTACTTACTCTTGCTTCTCACAGAAGTTGCCTTTGGGGTGTAAGCAGGAACTACATTCTCTACACTGTGGAATAATGAGTGTAAGGACTTTATCTCCTATGTAGAAAAAAAGTGATAAGATCAATAATTTGAAAATATTATTGGAATAAAAATAAAAATAGTATGTTTACAAATATAATTTACAATATAATACTCATAGCTATTTCAAAAGAGAAACCATTTCGCCTGGTTTCAGAAATCCCATTATTCTTTAGAGTAAATGGGAATTTGGGGATATTCCTTGCTGGATAGATAGTTGTAGGTCTGCTTCTCCCTACTCTGGAAATAGAATATCCAGAAATCAATCTTAGAGATAAGTCATCCAGTTTAACCCTTCTGTGTTTCATTTGAAGGATTTAGTGTCAAAGCAGTTGCCACTTGCCCACCTAGATAATGGCAGAGCTCTTTCCATTGAGTCCCCTGCCCCACTATGACATACTGAAACATAGCAGGCTTTTGACATGTTTTCTTTAGTGGGGTTAAGTCCTAAGATGTGGTAACTCCAGAGAATCAAAGGAATAACTCTTCCTTTGGAGAGAGAGGCTGTTTCTGCAGCACTTAGTACAGAGGGTGTTTTTTTAGGCTGCAGAGCTATGGAGAGAATGTTGATTATGTTTGGATCCTATCAGTAGCTAGCCCTCCTGGGCACTAGAGTGACAGCCTGAGTGGGGTCTGGGAAGAAAATTAACACAGTCCTCACAGACTTATGAGGACCTGGTAAGAGGTCTACAACATTGTCTCGATATCGGTTCTTACAAATTTTTATAATACAGAAATGACTCCCTTTTGGCTTCTTGCAGAGATTGGACGGCATTAAAAATTCTCTTGTATGTTTAGATAAGGCACACCTTACTTTCATTGGCCCTAAAATATTCCAAAGGAAATGGATCTCAGATTTGGGAAAGGTTCTGCTCTCTTGTCTGTCCTTTACCTTCAAATGCTCGTCATCATTTCTCACAAAACTTCCACTAGAATTTTTCTAGCTAAAGAGGAAATAGAGTATTTATGTCTCCTATTTGCATTATGTTCTTGGAGATGTAGACCATGCCTTTTTACTTTTTTCCCTCCTACTATGCCTGGTAGACACTCCATAATTTCTTGCTAGATGAATACACTGATGATGGCTTCATGAATGTCCTGACTAGGCACTTTCTTAAATTTCTTTATGTAGCTGGCTCCCAACTGTGGAGTTCCCATATTATCTTAATCTGAGTGATTGCTCTTATTCACTCTGATCATTTCAGACATGCTAAAAACAGCAATGTTAAGATTCATTTTGATAAGCCTGGGAAGAGCATATAATTGCTTTCTATTGATTCTTCAAAATGTCACTATCATCCTGTCAACTAAATTTCAAGCTCTACATTCTAGTTGATTAGAACAGCCATTCATTTGTCAGACATTCAATGTATTCCAACACTGTGCTAATGCATTTCAACACTTACCGTGCTAAGCATTCTGGGGGACAAGAATCTATAGTATAAGAGCAGTCCCTATCCCTACAGAACTTTCAATTTATTTAGAAGTGCCCTGATTCTATCTCAACCTTTACTGAGCTGTGGATATATAGATTTGGCTCAGCCACTATCCCACTGGATTGCCAGAGATGACAGCAGACAGAGATCATAGTGATGTGACTTTTGGAATCACTGGATGCATGTGATATCATGATATGTCTTTGGTTAGAAGAATCTAGAGCCAAACCCATGATATATGATTAGTCAGAATAATCCAGAGCAAACTAATTTATGTTTTTTCATAAATATGTTAGAGCATTTTAAGTTCCTTCTCTGTGCAGGAGGAGTTCTCTGGCATGCTGTTGGGGGGAAGGGTTTTGCTGCCCCACTTCCTACCTGGTTTCACGGAGTTCACTCCATCACCTATACTCTCCACAATCCCGGCTCCTTCATGGCCTGGGATTAAAGGAAACTTCACTGGGATTATTCCTTTCAAGACATGATCATCAGAACCACAGATCCCTGAAGATGTCATCTGTATGAGAATTGAGTGACATAGGGTCAATTGGTTCTGGGATTTTTCTCTTATTTTTATTTGAGACTAAATATTAACATTTTTTCCCCCACATAAATCATCTCATATTATCTCTATAATAACACTCAGAAGAACACAGGGCAGGCCTTATCATCTCCAACTTAGAGATGAGGAAAGGGACATTCAAAGACTTAAGATGACTTACACAAAGCACATGGCTCATACTCAGACCTGGTAATAAATTTAAGCTTTTGAAATCCAGTCTGTATATCCTGTCATCAGAGTTTTAAAATATGAGGGACAGTCTCATACAATGAAAGGTTTCTTTAAACCAAATATCAATAGTACCACCATTAAGAAACATATAATTTTAGGCCCAATATTATGGAATGTTTCTCCAGTGCTTTGGGAAAACAGATTTTCAAAATTTTAAATTTTGAAGCACTGAAAACATTCTTTAAGGTAATAATGAAAAATGAACTTAAGTTAAGTAAGCTAATCGTTGCAAAATTTAACTGATGTTCAGAAATTTGAAAACTTCTTAATTAATGGCCTAAGTTTTCTTAACTGTGGGTAAGCCCAACCCAATTACTTCCATTCATAAAAATGAAACATTTCATGTACCATAGCCCATATATCACTGCTCAGCTTGGAATACTGACAGAGATGCATATTGACTAGTTTTTCAGTATGTGAACTTGGGAGAGGCAGCATTTTATAGCTGGAACACTGGGAACACCTATGGTATGATTGTAGCAAACGGGTGAGAAGATATGCTCATGAGAAATATGCTGTGCTTTTGGCTCTCACAGTGTTAAAACGGCTTCGAGATGCTCTCAAAGAGTACAGAGTTATCTTAGGTATGCAGCAGGCTGGCATCTCCTTATCAGTTTTGTTCTGCATATCAGATAAGAATTATTATCTATGGGAAGTTGTTCACCGCATAAGCTGGGGGTGGGATCGTCTGTGCTGAGGGGCAGATCCAGTTCTTAACTTTGATTTTATCCAGGGTTCAGGGTGATATTGCTCAGTTTCTGCTGGGCAGTCTTCACCCTGGTGGGCTTTTCTGGATTTATTATTTCGGAGGCAGCCTTTGTAGTTAAGGGGTGTATCATTCCAAGAGCAGAGAATGGTGGCTAATGAACTAGGAAACATTTCAGTGGATGGTGAACCAGCACACAACAAGCACTAACTAACTGCTGTTTGGGTGAATGATAAATAGAAGAATACGGCGTTTGAAGAGCAGTCAGTTAAAATGAATTATTGAACTCCCTCCTTTGTGTACGTTCTCACCTCTCTTCACTCTGTTGTTTGCCTCCCCTCACTGGTGGGAGGAAGTCCTCCGCACAGCGCCGGGCACTGGCAATTCACTGAGTGTGAGCTCCCCTATTCTCCTGTTTTGTCTTTCATTCCCTTCTGTCTTTTTCTATCCCCCGCTTCTGTTCCTCCATCCTTATTCTTCCTGTTATCTTCTCAATCCCTATAATCAGTTTTCTCTGTTACTCTTGTAACCATTTCCTTATACCTTCTACCTTGATTAGATATGCTATGAACTAGAAGGATATGGCTTTTCATATTTGTTGTATTCATTGAATCACGTGTTAAATTTCCTGTACTTAATTAAAAAGATAGGTGAATTTAATGTGTAATGAGATTCTAATCAATAATATTTCTAATCTTGGATATTTAACAATTTTGTAAAATTTGAGATACACTGATGGAGAGTTTGATTTGAGAGTGACAAGAGGCCTTCGATGGGTCTATGTTTTTTCATTTCTGTTCTAAGCTCTATTCAATAATTGTTAATTCTTTCAAATCATGGGATCCTTGCTGTCTACTCCTGGAAATTGAAATGTACCACACGGTACACTTTTTTAGACAAGTTTTCTGAGACTCTTAAAATGCGTGAGCACAAAACAATAGAGTGGGGTAATTGATCTGTTAGTCACTGAATATGCATTTGAGTACCAACTTTGTATCATAGAAGTATGGGGAAATGCATTCTCTGGCCCTTCAAAAATAAGAAAAGTTTAACACTTAAAAAGTCTTCTAGGTCACACTGTAAAATATATAAGCTTCTGATATTATATAATTTAAGTAAGAATCCTAATAATTACAAAAAAAATTGGTGGTGAGTGAGTTACCAGTATCTTACAGTTATTAAGAATATTTCAAACATTCATTAACTTTATTCAATTGCCTTAGTTTTAAATTTTCTGCTTTTACTAAACAAAGTGGATAGACTAAAAATGCAAATGAAATATAGAACTCATTTGCATGTCTTTCTATATATTTTTAATAAAACAGAATTTCCTTTTATTTGCTTTCAAAGGTCTTAAATTTACCTTAATACGAACTTCCCCAGCCTTTGGGGGCTCAACTTGCACTTCTTCAATTGACAGAGGAGAATTTGTTGCCCAGGCAATGGCTGCCCTGCATGTGATTGTCTGCAGACACAAGAAAAATAAAATGATGTCATTTGGTGATAATATTTAACTTTTTTTCTGGTTATACTAATGACTATAACTTATTATAATATGTAAAAAAGCAAAAGTCATAAAGAAAAAGAAAAAAGATTACTCATAAGTTCAGAAACAAGTTCCTTAAATTTGGGTATATTTCCTTCCATTGTTTTAAAATAATTTTTATATAGTTGAGATCATATTGTATAAGCAACTTTTTATTCTGCTTTTTTACTAACAGCCATCGTTTATTGAATTGTTGCCATTTACTTGTTCATAAGAATTTTTTCATGACTTTGAATATGTCCTAATTTGCTTAATCAGTAATTACCTAGACATGGAATTATTTCCATTGCTTTGACTATTATAAAGCACACGTTATAATATAAATCAAAATTATACAGTATACTTTATTGGTAATTTTCACTTGCTTCGTTTCCTTAAGCGGGAGTTATTTCAGAAACGACGTTATTAGTGCTAAATTGATTTCCAAATCTCTGTATAAAAAGTATGACTCATTTGGCATACTCCCTAGAAGTGTGATAAAATGTCTAGACCATCACATATTCCATCCTCATTAGCACTGACTGTAGTCATTAAACACAAAATATCTGATAGGCAGGAAAAGGTCACTGTTTCTTTTCATTTGTATTTCTTTCAATGCTAGTCATGTTGAATATTTGCTACATTTATGTTCGTCATCTGTGTTTTCCTCTTCTGTGGAAAGTTTGGTCATATGTTTCACGAAAGTATATACTGGTATCTCAGTGTTTTTCTTATTAACATTTTTGAGTTCTTTACATATTCAAAGAGTGACCTGTTGTTTCCCAGCTTGTCATACATGGTTTTCCCCTTCTGACTTTTGACCTTTAATTTTGTATGAGCGGTTTCTGGCATGACGGCTGACTAGAGGTGGCCAGCCCTCAGCTCTAATGCAAAGGTCTAAAGCAACAAGTAGATAGTCACCTGTAGAATAGAATGTGTAGGAGAAATGATTTTTGAAAAATTCCAGCAAAGTAGTGAGGAAAACCCTCCAAAATCTGGAAACTTGAGACAGCAGTGTGGAAATACAGGGGAAGCATCTGACTAAGACTGGCGCAGAGACCGGAAAGACCCTGCTCTGTTGGGACAAGAGGAGAAGTGCACGCTGAGTCTCCCCACCCCCTTTGACCCTAGGCAGCTGCTGAACATTGCCATTTTGGGATAGGAACCAGGACATGGAGACCCTCCCAATTCTGGTGAGCCTATCAGAGCTTCCCACCCCGCCAGAGAGGGTGCAGGGAATGAGCCAGCACCTCCTGGGTACACACAGTCCCACAAATCTCTGAGAAACTTACCTAGATCCATGCCCACCTTCCCCCGGGAGCATAGAGACTCGCCTGACTCAGCAAGCCTGCCCAGCCCAGAGGGTGCCGGGAGCAAGCCGACTCCTCCCGGGTGTACACAGTCTCACGATTCTGGTAAACTTGTCTAGATCCACATACTCTGGTGAGGAAGCTCCAGGGTGCCCACCGACCTCACCCAGGGACTCAGATAAGTGCCTCAGAGCTGCTCTCAGGGGTTAGCGATCCATTCAGTATCCCGGCAACTCCACCCATGTTAGTGGAGGATTAGCTCACTGCCACAACACCTACCTTAGAAGTTGATGCCTGAATGCTGACCCCAATGACCCCGTACGGGATTACTCCCCTCAGCTTTGAAAGCACAGAGCACGTCTGCACACCCCCAAGGTACTTGAGGCCCTACTCATAGCTGTAATGACCCTGCCCAGTGTCAACCACCCCAACAAGAAACCACCGAGGGCCCCACTGCATAGGCCATGAAGGCACATACAGACAGCTCCAGGACTGAATACAGTCAAAGAAGTCACATGAAGACTACACTACTGCACTCACCTGGAACCAAACCTAAAATGCCCAACCTGACTGTCAATATGGAACACTTCTACAGGTAAGAGTTCCTCCCTTCAAAAACTACTCCAAAAATTAGAAGAAGCAACTGTAAATCATATCAAGTATTTTTTCAGGTCACAACGGAATAAAGCTAGAAATCAATAACAAGCAAAACTTTGAAAACTATACAAATTAAACAACATGCTCCTGAGTGACTGATGGATTAAAAAGGAAATAAAGCAGGAAATCAAATAATTCCTTGAAACAAATGAGAATACAAGCATAACATATCAAAACCTCTGGAACACTGCAAAAACAGTAGTTAAGAGGGAAGATTACTGCAATAAACGCTTACATCAAAAAGTTTAAAAAATCCCAAATAAACAACCTAATGTTACACCTCAAAGAAGTAGAAAAGCAAAAACAATCACCCCCAAAATTAGTAGATGGAAAGAAATGTTAAAGATCAGAGCAGAACTAAATGAAATAGAGACCAACAAAACAAAACAAAACAAAACAAAAGATCGATGAAACAAAAAAGTTGGCTTTTTCAAAGATAAACAAAATTAACAAACCATTAGCTAGACTAACCAAGAAAAGAAAGAAGAAGACTCAAACAGCAAAAATGAGAAATGAAAAAGGAGACATTACAACTGACTCCACAGAAATACAAAGAATCATTATAAACTATTATACACGACTATATGGCAACAAACTTGAAAATCTAGAGGAAATAGATAAATTTCTGGACACATACAAACAACCAAGACTGAACCAAAAAGAAACTGAAAACCTGAACAGAGCGATAGATAACAAGCAATGAAATTGGATCAGTAACCAACAGTCTCCCAGCAAAGAAAAGCCCAGGACCAGAGGGCTTCACTGCTGAATTCTACCAAACCTTTAAAGAAGTTTTAACACCAATTCTTCTCAAACTATTTCAAAAACCAAAGCAGAGGGTATTCTCCCAACTTATTTTATGAGCCTAGCATCTTCCTGATACCCAAACCAAATAAAGACAACAAAAAAAGAGAACTACAGGCCAATATCCTTATACCTTGTATAAGGGAATCCTTATATACTGTGAGTGGGACTGTAAATTGGTGCAGCCATTTTGGAAAACGGTATGGGGGGTTCTCACACAACGACAGATAAAACTATCTTACGATCCTGCAATCCCACTATTGGGTATACACCTAAAGGAATGGAAAGCAGCATGTTGAAGGGATACCTGCACTCCCATGTTTATCACAGCTTTCTTTACAATAATCAATATATGGAACCAACCTAAATGTCTATTGACAGATGATTGGATAAAGAAAATGTAGTACACATTCACAATGGAATACTACTCAGCCATAAAAAAGAATAAAATTCTGCCATTTGTAGCAACATGGATGAGCTTGGAGAAAATTATGTTAAGTGAGATAAGTCAGAATGAGAAATACCACATACTGTCACTCATATGTGTGTGCTAAAAAAGAGAACAAAAGAAAACAAATAAATAAATAGTAATAATAAGTTGAACTGTTAAAAGGAGAGAGAAAAACTGTGGTTACTGAAGGTGGGAAAGGGGAGGGGTAAAGGGGAGAGTGAGAGGCTGGTTAATGGACCCAAATTTACAGCTAGAGATGGAAAGTCAGTCCTATGGTGTATAGTCAACCCAGGAATCTATAACTAACAATGATTTACTACATGTTATTAAAGGACTAGAAGAGAGGAGATTAACAGTGCACATTACAAAGAAATGATTAAGTCTCAAATGATGAATATGCTAATTACCAGAGGTAGATCATCACACACAGTATACATGCCCCATAACCATATACAATGAATAGATTTCAATAAAAATTTTTTTAAAAAACTATGAAATTTTACATGTGTATGTTTTGAAATTTTGGTTCATAAAAATATCTTGTCCTTTGCTATTTCTTCCATTTATATACTTTGAAAATTTTCTCCATATAAAGAATAAATATTTCTTATCCTCTCTTCTAGATATTTATAGTTTGATTTCTAAACATTTACCTCTTAAATTCTACTGAAAATTGTTTTGTTGTGTGACGTTAGAATCTAAATGAACTGTCCTGGCATGAACTAGTGACTAATGTTTTTTCTCTTTCTTCTTAAATTAACACCTTTGCTATAGGAAAAGTTCTTGTATTCACAAGTTTCTCCTTGGAGGCTGTTTATACTGTTCCATGTATCTTTCAGTCTATTACTGCAGCTGCACCTCAATGATTTGAATACTTTAACTTTTTGATATATCTTTATATCTGGTGATGCTAGTTCTCCTCATAGTTTTATGTGTGTTTCATTTGCAGGTACAATTACTGCACTAGTAATTGTAAGGTATATTGAACTTTGTAAATCTGTTGTGTCTTTAAGAAATTTAGATTCCAATGGAGGAGAAAATACATTCCTTGTAATATAGGAAAAAGGGACAAATGCCACATAATAAGTTCAAATAAAATGATACAGAAAGTACTACTTCTTTTTGAGGATAAAATAATTTGTCTTTTATCTACCAAGAGCATATAAAAAACATACTTTACAAAAAAATTTCATAATCTCAAAAGTAATACACACTCAATACAAAAAACTTAGAAAACTCAGAAAACGTAAAGGGGAAAAAGCTGGGAAAAATGGCACCCAGCTATTACCACTGTTAATATTTTAGGGTAAGCCCTTCCCATCAATATTCTATGCATGTGTATGTGTGTTTGTATGTTCATACTGAGCATGCTGTTTTATAGCCTGCTCTTCTGCTTAGCATTATAAATATTTTGCAGGTAATTTAAAAATGATCACTTAGGACTTTATAGGCTAATGTACTATAATTTATAAAATCAGTGTCCTAGTATTTGACATATATTGCTTTCAATGGTATACCCTTAAAAATAATGCTGCCATTAACCTGCTTATAAAAACATAATTTCAGATGCTCTTCACCTTATGATTGGGTTATGTTCAGATAAACCCATTGTAAGTTGAAAATATCTTAAGTTGAAAACGCATTTAATATACCTAACCTACTGAACATCATAGCTTAGCCTCATCTACCTTAAACATGCTCAGAACACTCACATTAGCCTACAGCTGGGCAAAATGATCGGGCAACACAGTTCACTGCAGAGTATTGGTTGTTCACCCTTGTGATTGCATGACTGACTGGGAGCCGTAGCTCACTGCTGCTGCCCAGCATTGTGAAAAAGTATTGTACTGCACATTACTAGCCTGCAAAAAGATCAAAATTCAAAACTTAAAGTAAGGTTTCTACTGAATGCATATTGCTTTTGTTCCATTGTAAAGTCAAACCACCATAAGCTGGGGACCAGTTATATTTTGTCAGAATAAATTCCTAGGTCAAATAATAGGCACATTTTAAAGATGATTGATAAAATATCATCAAATTATCACACAAGAAATTTCCACCAATTTATCCTTCCAGCAGTGGTGCATGAATTCCCACAGCCAGGAAAACTTTGGATATTATTAGAAATCTTTGATAATCTTACTGGAGAAAGTGGCATCTTAATTTGGTTTCAATGTGCACTTGTTTGATAACTAATAAAGATGATATAGATCTATTTCAAAGGTAGCATACTTACTTTGCTTGAAGTGTCCATGATGAATTTTCTGGTTTCCTTTGTGTCTTATGAGTACACCCAAGAGAACTTCACTTTAACTCTACAGCTTGTTAAACTAGACTGAGTATTTATAGTGATCATTTACTGAAAGTCATTAAAAACTACTACACAGTGACTCACCAACATGGGGAAGACCAGAAAGGTGAAGTGTAAAGGTAAAGAGGAGAAAGGAATGTGAAAGAACAGGAAAGGATGGTTAATTAGGAAGGAGGTTAAGAACAGGGATGCTGACTGAGGAGAGAAGAAGTTTGAAGAGTAGGCAATAAGTGAAAAGGCAAGGGCATGATTATAGAAAACCAAATAAAATGTTTTAGAGATCTAGGAGAAAGATCAGCTAGTAAGAATTTCTGGAGTATCAATGGCATGAAAGGTATTGTTAGATTAGATGATAAAGGCATAAGACTGGGTCTCCAGGAGTCAAAGAAGTGGAAAAGCACAATGATACAAACTACTATAAAAAAGCTGAGAAATAAGTGATAAATGTGATGCTAAAGGCGATGTGAGGTCACCGTGAATGATTAGAGAGAATTTTATTCAGGTGAGAATTTAGCTGCATCTAGAAGGAAGATTTTATGTAAAATAAAGAATGGGTAGCATATTCAAAATAGGGGAGTAAGCTCAACCTAGGTAAGGTGAAATGAAATAATGTGCAGGTGTGGTAGTGCTAATGATGACGGTGATGATAATGAGAATGATGAGGGTGGTGATCACCATGTTTACCTTTTACTAGTTGCTTGGTGTAGTATTTCTTGACATCATAAGGCATAAGAATCCCTTGGGGGAGTGATAGAGTTTGGATGTGTTG